AGAAGGCCCAAGACGGCTCCAAGAGCGAAAAAGCGAAAAACCACAACACATTGATGTTCTTTAGGTATTGAAAGGATTTTGGTTTCAAGAAGGGCGTCAGAGGCGATTCGAGGCACTCTAGAGGGGCAGCGCTGATATGCGACCCCCCTTTCTTTGAGAGATCTGCTCCAAGATGGCCCCAAGAGCGCCCCGAAGGCTTCCAAGAGCGCCCCAAGAGGGCCCGAAGAGGCCCCAAGAGGCCCCCGAGAGACCCCAAGAGGCTCCCCGATATACGCAAGAGGCCCCCGGGACCGCTTAGAGGCCCCAAAGACGGTCCAAAAGGCCCCTAAGCTCGCCATTGTCCTCCTCCTCCTATTTTTCTTCCTCCTCCCTCCTCCCCCTCCCCCTCCTCCTCCTTTTCCTTTTCCTTTTCCTCCTTCTCGTCCTCCACGTCCTCGCAGTCGTCCATTTCCTCCTCCTCCTCTTCCTCCTCCTCCTCCTCCTCTCTCCTCCTCCTCCTTTTTCCTCCTCCTTCTTTTTTTCCCCTCCTCCTCCTCTCCTCCTCCTCCTCCTCTCCTCCTCCTCCTCCTCTCCCTCCCCTCCTCTCCTCCGCATCCCCTCCACGTCTCCTCCTCCCGTCTCCTCGTCCTCCTCCCTCATCCTCCTCCTCCGCCCTCTCTCCTCCTCCTCCCCTCCTCCTCCCCCTCCTCCTCCTTCTCCTCCTCCAGTCCTCCTCCTCCTCCTCGGGGGTCCTACTCCGGGCTCTGCTCCCTCCGTCTCCGGCTCTGGTTCTCCTCCTCCCTCCTCCTCCTCCTCCTCCTCCTTCCTCCTGCTCATCCTCCCTCCTCCCCCCTCTTCCTCCTCCTCCTGCTCCCCCTCTCCTCCTCCTCCCCCCCCTCTCTACTCCTTTTCCTTCCCATCCTCCTCCTCCTTCCTTCCCTTCCTCCTCCTCCTCCTCCTCCTCCTGCTCCCCCCTCCTCCTCCCCCTCCTCCTCCCCCTCCTTCCTCCTCTCCTCCTCCTCCTCCTCCTTCCTAGTATCCTCCTCCTCCTCCTCGGACTCCTCCTCCTCTTCCTCTTCCTCCCTCCTCCTCCTCCTCCTCCTCCCTCCTTCCTCCTCCTTCCCTCCTCCTCCTCCTCCTCACCATCATCCTCATCATCCCCCTCCGAGTCCTCCCCTTCCTCCTCCTCCTCCTCCTCCTCCTCCTCCTCCTCCTCCTCCTCCTCCCCCTCGTCGTCTTCTTAATAGTATAATAGTATTATCAAAACTATTATTGTTATACTTCATATGTTCAAATTCATTATTGTTATTACTATTATGGGTATGATTCTTAGTATCATTATTCGTTGTGTTGTTGTTAGTGGTAGTGGTAGTGGTAGTGGTAGTGGTAGTGGTAGTAGTGGTAGTAGTAGTGGTAGTAGTAGTAGTAGTAGTAGTAGTAGTAGTAGTAGTAGTAGTAGTAGTCTACGTCTTCTTCTTAGTAATATCATTATTCGTTTTCGTCGTCTTCTTAGCCTGCTTAGTAGTACTCTTATAGTCGTATTCGATTTTTCTGTTTCTGCATCGTGTTCTTCTGCTTATTCGGATTATCATTCTGCGTCTGCTTCTGCCTCTCATTATCATCACTCGTAGTATTCCTCTTCCTCTTCCTCTTCCTCCTCCTCCTCGCACGTAGCTCGGAGTGAGCTCGTAGTCGCTTAGCTCGCTCGATCGTCCAGTTGCTGCAGTAGCTGCGCTCTGGCAGCACGGGCATGCTGCGCAATCAACGTTGGATCAACATTGGCCTGACTCCGAGTCGAGTTATATAAGTAGAAACTCAAAATCAGGCGCTGCACAGCCAGCAATCGTTGCTCTCCAGTCATATATTTGGCGATCCCCAGCCTACGATCAAGTAAGACCTCGGACGGAGTCGACGGAACCCAAACGGTTTGCACAGCACCCCACAGCAACGGACAAGCAAATAATGCTTTTGCGTGTCGCACTCATTGGAGCAACTGGATTTACAGGGAATATTGATCTGTCGAGCACTCCGCTCCGTCGTCCAACCCCCCACCGCCGTCTTAATAGCCGAGGCGTGCCAGGAGGGCGGCAGGGCGCTGAGACACTCTTTGAGCATCTTCCAGCTGCACGCAGCCTTGGCCTGGGGAGGAAGAGGCGCAGCAGTCCACTTCTCCATGCGCTTGAATATGGTGTCACCTAGATTTTCCTGGAAAAGCTCAGCCTCCAGGCGCCTCGAGATCGTCCTTTGAACCGGGGCAAGAGGACCCCCGTCCACAGCCCGGAGCCTCTGCGCCTCGCTGAGAGCATCCATGGCGAGAGCAGCAGGGCGGGCAAGACGGCGGGAGGAGGAGAAGCCATCAGCAGCGGCAGCAAGCTCCTGGACATATGATGGCTCGATCCAGCGCACTGGCTCCCACTTGCCCTGGATCCACATCCCCA